ACATGGTATAGTGTCTGTGATATGCATCTTCAACCAACATCTTCAGATGTGTTTCCGCACACTGTTTGCATGTAAACCCAGACCTCGTTTGTTTTACCGTTGATTCTTCTAAACTTTAAGAGAAGAGTATGTTGTGTTCAATGCTCGATTATTATGAGTGGGCTTTGTCTTTGCGGTTTTTGTTATAAGAGTTGCTATAACAGGACAGTACAGAAATAAAGAACCCCTTAAAATAATCCTTTTCTGGTCTTTACTATACCACACAATAGCATTGGACCTCGGACCTTCAAAAATCAACAATATTGTTTTTATGGTCCACCACTGTCCCGGTGATTTACTTTTAATAGATTGATGAAGAACTAAAACATTCAACGACATCAGGGAATTTGTTTAAAAGGTTCTAAGAAATCAGTATGTTCTTAAACAAAGGAAATCAGGTGAACAGCAGCACACATCATATCACACCGTATGTCACTACTCCCTGATCTGAAGCTAATCCAATATTCAGCCCTTCTATGTGGAATATCTCATTTAAGCTCATCATTCAACTATTTTAGAGCCCGTCTCTCAGGACAGCTTTAAGTGTCCATTTTCTATATGGTGTTGCCATGAGAGCTGGGGTGAAGTGTTTCTGCTGAGGAGATGGGTTTGCTTTTCTCTAAATGTAATGCCATGCCTTGTAACCAGAAATCTCCACTTTGGCTTCACGAGTCCAAAGGACATTCTTCCCCAAATCAATTTTTTTTTCTTTAACATGATAACTCTTGCTTGTAGAGTTTGAGATGTTGCTGATTTATTTTGTAAGATTAACAGCCGTCTGGATTTGCACAATAGTTTGTAGCAGTGTGTGTCAGAGTGGAACTCAAGGCAGGACTCAGATGCAGAGGGGCGGTTCAAAAAGGTTTTATTAAACAAAAAACGCACTCAAAAGGAGTGGAAACAAAGTACCAAAACAAGATAGACAAAACTATGAACAAAGTTTCAAAATATAATCGCTCGAAAGAGGAAGGACAAAAGGCTATGAAACAAAGTACCAAAAGAATACTCACTTGAGTTAACAAAAATGACAAGGAGGATCAAAAGCAAAATCACTCTTACAAGGTAAAGCTAAGTAAGGTCATGGATCCCAAGACAAATGACGAACGACAAAAACTCACTGGCACAAGACAAGGGAAACGAGGACTATTTAAACACATGAGGGAAGGGAACCCTAGGTGTACACAATAGGTAATCAAGGAAGACAAGCAGACATGTGACACACAGGGGAGTGCAAGTGGGCTGAAACAAGGGGATGAACCTTTCAAAAGAAACCAAGATGTGAAAAGACAACATGGAGACAGGACAAAAACACCAAAAATGCCCCCAGACGAGACAGTGTGATCCATTACAAAATGATATACAGCAGATTTTTTGAAGATCAGCGCTGATATCTTAACATCTTTAAGTGTAATACGTGTGTTAAAAAAGCAGCTCCTGTAGAGGCGCTCACATCCGTTGGTGGTCCATTATTCAGGTTCATTTGATTAACAGAGCGCGGCTGCCACGGACTTATCTTGCCTTAACTTAACTCATTGACTGCCAGCCATTTTCAGAACAGAGAGTCGCTCACTGCCAGAGTTTTTTGAGAATTTTGACTGATTTTTCAAGAGCCACAGAATAGTTTGTGCTATGACTATGTAAACACCGAACACACCAAAAGAAAGAGTAGACTCTCTTCTTTCATCAGGAAAAAAGATTTTGTTTCTACCTTATTCCGTTCTTCTTCGACGTGCGTCTCACCGGCGCCATTTCTCTCATAGCGAACCATTGCGTTTGTTTTTATTTGCTTACAATCTATGCTAATCTCCCATCAAAAGTGGCACAGCTACCTAGAGGGGAAAATTGGTAGTCCATACTCTGTCTAGAAGCCGATATTTACGGAAAAACTTTCGCCGATCGTCCCCTAAGCCACTCGCATTGAAAAACATAAAAGACGTCTATAGACGTCTTTGGCAGTCAGCGGTTGGATTTGAAAAGACGTCTATAGACGTCTTTGGCAGCGAATGAGTTAACTTACCTGATGGCAAATGTGCAGTGGATAAATAAAAATCATGAAGCCAGTAGATGGATAACTGCCCTTCTTCTCCAGTAATATTTCAGCCTTCATGAGTATAACCCATGAAGGCTGGATTGACCACCATCACATATAATGGGATTGGACAACCTTTTAAACATACTAAACCATCACTTACTATCCATTTTATGTATAAAAAAAAAATAAAAAAAAAATAATTACAATTAAAGTTGAATTTACACGTAAAAAATTAACAATTAGAAATAGTAACAAACGAAAAAGTCTGAGAAAGCAGTCTGTTGGAGGTGGGAGGAAAAAGGGAGGGAAAAAATAGAAACTTGATTATGATAAGGTGGTTGCTGAGTAAACATTATTCATTTTTGTTTGTCTTGACGTGTGAGTTTGGATTTTTCTCATACAAATGACTGTTTGTATTGCACAATCTCTCCGTACGACTTCCACAAGCCTGTTTGCTGTCGTTTATTTCACATTTACAAACGAAGCAAATCCTTGATTTGAAAGTCAAATGAGAGGATGCAGACGTTAGGATCAAGTTAGAGATGTGTCTCATGCGAGGGGTGAGGTTATATGATACTACTGTCCTAACCAGGACTCAGCAGCATAGCTTAGATCGGCAGTGACTTCATGGTGCCTCTGAAAAAAAAACTAAATGAGAGCCTTCAGATCTGGTGACGAGGAAGAGCTGAACAGGATGCAGAGTGAACTAAGGGCGGAGAAGGTGTAAGGACTCCTATGGCAAAAAGATATAGAGAATACTCCATCAGAAAGACACCAAGGATGTGTGGAAGGGTATTTAGCATATAACAGGCTTCAACATCAAAGACCAACAGCAGGGGGTCGCCAGGACATAGCAAACCAGCTGAAAGGATTTTTCAAACGGGGTCCACAGGCCAAAGAGTCAGTCCTGTGCATCCTCCAGCACATTTTCGACCCGAGTCTGTTGCAGGAGAGGATACCGGTGATATGGAACACATCCTGCACAGAGATGTATAAAGTCCTGGAGTGGAGGAGTGGAGTAGAAGTACCAGTACTATATAAAAAAGTTAACTTGGGTAAAAGTAGAAGTGTTCTTTCAACTCCATACTTAAGCGGAAGTACGGAAGTACTCCATGTTTTTGGGGACTTAAGTATTGCAAGTAGAAGTATTTCAAAAATTGCTACTCAAGTATCGAAAGTACAAGTATAAGTACAAGTACAAGTACTGAAAATATTTTTTAAAGGCAGTCAAAAGTTTGATAGATATTGTTTATATTTTTTTCAAACGTGCGAAAGGCCGTACAGGTGTTTAAAAAAACAGAAAACTACATCTGCATTAGCAATCAACAGCACTTCATCTACTAATATTTATTATTCCAGTGTCAGAGTATTGAGCTGAGCCTTTATGCTAGCATGTAGCATATAGCTAGCCAGCAAGGTTAGCTTTAGCTAATAATTAGCTGCTACGTTCTGAGTGAACAGGAAGAACTGAACTAGTGCTTATTTACCGGCTTATATGTCATTTGTGTTAAGGGAGGCAGCTTCTGCTCCGACTTATCAGATACAACCGCACTGTCGGGTTACAGCTCAGTGACGTTTAAACTCAAGCGTATCGTCCCATCTTCTTAATTTATCTGTTTCATGCTTCACCGTCCCTTAAACTTAGACTTGCTGTCTAAACAACAGCATAACCACAAACAAGTTCCTTCATGTTCCGGGTCATGATCTGTTATAATGTAAATACTGATGGGTACATGGTGGAAAGACGACAGTAACCAGAGTAGATATAGCCAACCAGAATCTTTAGGAGACCACACTTACATAACTCACGTAGTGTTTTTAAACCACTTTGAAAAGCTTTTTTACATCCCTGTGACATTTTTTTCCTTCTCCCTTTTCAATTTGAGGTTTTGTCCCCCTTACAGCTTTCTTTCCCACCTGAAAGTTCTTCTTGAGAGCTTTTCTTTTATGCATGATTTCTTAAATTAACTTTACATTTACTTCAAGTCTACTTCAGGTAATTACCAGGGTCTGCATCTCTTTACAGGCATCACAACCCTGTGATGCTCCATGACTATTAAATTCCTTTTATCTGCGCAACTGTTTGTTGAAATTGGTTTGATGATCACACATCAACCATTGTGCTACACGTAAAAATGTGTACAGAAATGTGTCACAAATGTAGGCGTCCAAGACAAGAAAAAAAGACAAGTCAAAGAGGATAAAAATCTTTTTTTGCTAATTTGAAATGTATCACACACACACACTGTACAGGTTTAGCCTACAAAGTAACAATATCCTGGAAACAGCCCTAAGTTTTTTTTATTCACATTTCTTAAAAGTTTTACATATATATATATATACAAATACATAGAAGAGAGAGAGAGAGAGATCTGTGACCACTAAAACATTTCTATTCCAGCAGAATCAGAGAGAGAGAGATTTCACCCTTACCTGAACACACATAAATAGATGTTCAACCCTAACCCTAACCCAAACAAAAGTTGCAAAAGTGTGCACTTAATTTTCAGGTCATTTACCCTTCATTTCACGATTCATTTATAAATGCAGTCCACATGACTAAAAACCCATTCACATATTCAAAGAAACTTATTAAAAAAGAAAAACATTTCTTGTACCAACTTTTCTTTTTTCCACAACAACATTCTGCAGGTCGCTTGGCTTATGGAAGATCAGTGAGGAGGCAAAAGTGTACGCAATCTCATTTTTCAATCTCAATCTTACATTTTAAGCAAAAATAATTATCAGAATGTACAAGTCCTGTCATTGTCATTTTTTGGAATCAGTTGTCCATTTACACATAATTTGTTGTAGGTTTAAGATAAGCATAAAAAGGTTAAATCAGAGCAGAGAAGTCTCCGGAAGCTAGCGTAACTGTTTAACTGTGGTAGTCATCTTGGTGCTGGGTTTTTAGTAACTTGGAATAAGATCACCACCCCCTGTAAAACGTGACCACTTTTTTCTGTGCTAGCTCCTGAATAATATTAAACTCATGATGAGCAGGATTTATTCCAGTTTGAAAAGATTTGTCTTTGGGTTTCTCCCAGTAATGGCTCCAGCTTCCATTGCTGTCTGTCCCAAATCCAAACACGTGGACCTAGGGGGAAAAAAACAAACGCATTTTTGAATTTCAGTTGATTTCACATTCACTCTTTTCATCGTTTAACTTTCCTTCTGTGTTCAGTTGTGTGGCTGTGCTCTCTGAGTTAGAAAGTTTTTGATTTGTACTTGACTTCACTTCCATCATCGATCAGTTTTCTCCTTAGCATGCGTAATTACTGAAGAACAATGCCTGTGTTTCTCAGGGATGATGGGGATTAATTAAAAAGATAAGCAAATAGAACCCTGAATCCTCTTTCCTTATTATACTTTCATATTATTTTCATAGTTAGTCTAAATTACTCTCAAGTGATGCCTTAATGAAATGGAAAAATTAAAGGATGAACACTGTAAATAAAAGGCTGACAGCCACGGAAGAAAGTCATTACTAATGTTTTTTTCAGTCCAAAATCTAAAAGATAAAGCAAATTATAGAGCAGAAACCAATATAACTCTATGAGTCCATTTTGTAGAATAACTTTGCTCATACCATTCTTCAACTGATCATTGTCTTGTTTATGTTATCATCAAAACTGGTGTGACTAGTTTTTTGCTGATATGCTGTGTTGAA